TCTTGGGAATAGAAGTGGCTAGATCCAAGGAAGCGATTTACATCTGTCAAAGAAAGTATGCTCTTGACTTGCTAAAGGAGACCGGGAAATTAGGAATCAGACCTACTAACACTCCCATAGAGCAAAATCATGGATTGCAAAGAGGTGATGAGGAACCTTATCCTAACAAAGAAAGATATCAACGGTTGGTTGGAAAACTGTTGTATCTATCTCTCAGTAGGTTGGATATTGCATATTCAGTCCATGTAGTTAGCCAATTGGCCCAATTCATGCATGCTCCACAAGTCTCACATATGAAAGTAGTAGAGATAATCTTGAGATATCTCAAGTCATGTCCCGAGAAAGGACTACTATTTAAGAAGCATGACAAAATAGAAGTTGAAGCATTCACAGATGCTGATTGGGCTGGTTCCCATGGAGACAGAAGATCTACATCATGACATTGTACCTTTGTGGGTGGAAATCTGGTCACATGGAGAAGCAAGAAATAGGTTGTTGTGGCAAGGTCAAGTGCTGAAGCTGAATACAGAGTCGAATGAATGCCCCCACCCCCAAAGAGAATATTTTATTGTATAGGAAAAAGCTATGTACAATTACATAAATTCCCCTTATTATGTGGGCAGATTACAAGATACTCTAATACATTCTACTAAAATACAATGTGACCCACTAGTACAAGAATAAAATAACAATACAATACAAGCCCTATCTACACTCCCCCTCAAACTGATGTGGGGACAACATCAGTTTGCCCACAAGGAACTCATGGCACACATGAGGCATGGCTTTAGTAAAGATATCAGCAAGTTGGAGCTCAAATGAAATGTGTGGAAGAGTGATTGTCTCCTCAACAAATTGATCACAAATGAAATGACAATCAACCTCAATGTGTTTGTTGTGCTCATGAAAAACTGGGTTAGAAGCAACTTGGATAACACTCTTGTTACCAACATATAATGGTGTAAGAGTTCAAAGGGGAAAGTGAAGTTCCTTCAGAAGACCCCACAACCAAACGATTTTACAACAAGCAGCAGACACTGCCCTATATTCAGCTTCAATAGAGGACTTAGATACTCACATTTCCATGAGAAGAAAGTCACCAAGGAATACCTGTTAGACAGTTTTGTATGCCCTTAGCTTCAATCAGAATGATGTACTTTATGAGTTTATTGTAAATGAATAAAGATACATATTTGATTCATG